ACATGCCTGGATGGCGGGCTTGATCCCCAGAGTGGGGCATGCAGGAGGCAGCCGGTCCCTGACTCTTTTGATCACATACTAAAAATGAGATCGAGAAGCAGGGAGGATCGCCTCCATGGTTCCGAAGTAGGGTCCGTGCGAACCGTAGGCTGAGACATCTGTGTAGAGGGTAATGTGAAAGGGAAATAGCTGATTTCTTTAAAAAAAATTTTTTTTTTGATTTTTTACAGAGAGGAAGGGAGAGGGAGGAAGAATCAGAAACACTGATGAGAGAGAATCATCGACCAGCTGCCTCCTGCACACCCCCTACTGGGGATGTGCCCGCAACCAAGGTCCATGCCCTTGATCGGAATGGAACCCGGGACCCTTCAGTTCACAGGCCAACGCTCTATCCACTGAGCCACACCGGTTTCAGCTAGAGAGATGCCATTTTCCCCATCTACATGGACAGATCCCCCCGAATTCTCAGGGTCTTCCCCGAGGCAAGAAGAGAACAAACTCCCGTTCTAGAGACTTTTTAAACATCTGCCCTTGGCAACCACACAGTCGCCATCCTCAACCTTTTTCATGATCTCATGTCACACGTAAACCGGCTGCTCAAATTCTGCGGCACACCCAAAAATAGGTAGTTTCGCCGATCTAAAAGGAAAAAATAGGCGTGATTTTGATTCTTTCCTACCAGATGTGATGGCTGTGTTGGCTACTGCCCTTCTTTAACCTGATAGGGGCCAGTGCCTCCGGCTACCAGGTGTACCGGTTAATCATGTGGATTTTCCCCAATAGACGGAGTTACACATATGTTGACATATATGTGATTTGATATGTATGCGGTTTTGATGTATTGACAGCAAGCTCTGCAGGGAGTGGGGTGTGGACTGGCTGAGCGGTTTGGAGATGGCAGGCTCCCCCTGGTTTGCATACTGCCCTCTCCTGGCCTGGACGGACAGGAGCGTTCAGAGCTCATCAGATGCACGTAGGTCCGCCCTACCTCTGCGTGAGATACGTGTGTGCGTGGGAATTTGTTTAAAATATTCAGAAAACTGCCGAAACCGGTGTGGCTCAGCGGCTAGAGCGTCGGTCTGCGGACTGAAAGGTCCCGGGTTCGATTCTGGTCAAGGGCATGGACCTTGGTTTCGGGCACATCCCCAGGAGGAGGTGTGTAGGAGGCAGCTGATGGATGTTTCTAACTCTTTATCCCTCTTCCTTCCTCTCTGTAAAAAAAAAAAATCAATAAAACATACATATATATTTAAAAAGAACCCTGTGGTAGAAAGAGAAACAGCGAAGCGCACAGAAGTAGAAGGCACCAGAGGCCTAACTCATAACCGCACACGTTCCCTCTTCAAAACGGGCTGCCTCATTTCTTGCTTCTTATTGTGACTTGTCTCAAGCCCCATAGGCCACACATTTACCCATTGGGAACATTTTTATTTCCCCCCTCCCCCGCGTTTCCCCTAAATTCTTAAAGGGTCCCTGACACTGAGAAAATGCTTGCCACCCTGCCTGCCGGCTGCAGCCACACCCGAGTACAAACCCTGCTGGTCCAATGGGTGTGTGTGCCCGGGCCCCTGCGGGCTCGTCCTTGACCCTGGCCGGCCAGCCCTCTCCATATCAGCGGGAACCTGGCGGCCGGACGCAGAGTCTGATTCCACTCCTGTGCTTTCTAAGAGGGAGAGGCGGTTCCTCTAAACTTTTCAAAGAGATGGAAAGGCCCGTACCTCGTTCAGACGGCACCGAGCCTGTCGCCGGGAGGGTGTCTCGCGCGCGGGCCGGCCGGATGGAGAAGGGGGCTGTTTGATTCCCTCGCTCCGTGAAACAGGATCGCGAGAAACCAGGGGTAACCAACGCACTGTTTGCATTTATCTTGAACACTCCACCCGTGTCTCTCCGGCCATACACAGCCTATATTTCAGCCCCTCGTTCACTCGTTTGCCACCAACATGCCCAATATTCTTAAGAGTTCGGAGGGTAAGCCCTGGCTGGTGTGGCGCAGTGGATAGAGCATCGGCCTGCTGACTGAAGGGTCCCGGGTTCGATTCCCCCGGTCAGGGCACAGGCCCTGGTTGTGGGCTCGATCTCCCACAGGAGGCAGCCGACCCATGATTCTCTCTCATCATGGATGTTTCTCTCTCTCCCCCTTCCTCTCTGAAATCAATTAAAATACGTTGTTGTTGGTTTTTTGTTTGTTTTTTTTTTTTTTTAAAAGTTTGAATAGTAAGAGGGAAATGAGTCTCCATTGATTGCGGACATGATATTGATAGGAAGTTGACAAATACAGCACAACAAAGCTACCGCTTTTAACTCCAGATTCAGTTTAGTTGGGTCCATTAATGTGCATCTATTTGAAGAGGTAAATTCTTTTATGGGTCACACTGGCATGGCCCAGGGTGACCCTGAGAGGGAGCGGTGAAGGATGGAGAAAAGACAGACAAGAGGATGAAAGCTGGGTCTCGGTGGGACACCGCTCCCTGAGAGAGCGCCAGGGCCCCCCAAGCCGCGTCTTTATTTCACAGCCAGATTCCCATGAGGCGAAGGAAGGGCTGGTCAAGAAATTGACAGCATTCTCATGGGCTTCCGTCCTACTCAACTGCATGCACCTGAACCCTATCCAGCCCACGTCACTCAGGCACGTGGGGCCACGTGCTCGGACCACAGATTCAAGCTGGCAACTACAGCTGCTGGCTATCCCCGTGCTGGGAGGCCCTGCCCTCCTCGTGGGGGCCTGCACGTGGCCATGAGAGGAGGGTGCCCTCTCCTCAGTCGGAGGCTGGGGCCTGTCCCAACGCGGTAGCCACGCCCCACACCTTGACAGCCACGTTCCTTGCGAGGTACAAGGAGAAAAATACTACTCATCTGGAACACCAACACGCCCGCCCCCCCCCCCCACCCATGACATGTTCTCGCCACACCCATCCTCGGACGAGCTTTTGGACGCGCCTTGTGGACGCATTCAGATCCGGGGGTGGGCAGACACACCAGCAGTTTTCGTGACTCCACCGTATAGCGACGCGGGCATTTCCCTTCATGACGGAAGAACGTGTCCGTCGGATGAGACATGGGGCGACGTGAACCCTCCACGGGGACAGGCGGAGCCAGTGCCTGCCTTACAGGGTTCCTCTGCTTCTGGGGGGACCCACGTGTCTCGGGCTGGGGGTGCCCCGTATACACCAGGCGGCACTGGGCGTGGGACTGCCTGTGAGCGACCAGGGGGCAGCTGGGAGGTGATCTGAGCGGAATCCACGGACAGACAGGAGGGCTCCTCAGACTTAACATCGCACAGCCCCGCGGCCGGCAAACCGCGGCTCGAGAGCCACAGGCTGCTCCCGGGCCCCCGGCGGGCGGCTCTTCCACAAAACACCACGGCCTGGGCAGGGGTGAGACGTTTACTTTTAAACATCGTGGCTCTCCAGAGACATGTCCATCGTGGTGCTGTGGACATCTGGCTCTGTGGACGGATGAGTTTGCTGACCCCTGGCACAGCCCCCCCCCCGCTCCTGCACCGGCTGCAGGCTCCTGTGCTCTTACTGAACGACACAGTCCCAACCCGAGTGTGCTCCTCGCTGCAGGAACCTCTCCCCTAGACATCAGAGCGGTGCCCGCCCCCCTGGTCTCTGGGGATGGCCCCCAGCGAGATGCACCCTGCAGCTGAGCTTCCTGTCCGGCGCCCTCCGGCTTCCCCCCAGCGAGACCCTGAGCGGAACCTCACGTCGCCCGCAGGAACCACGTTATGCAACCGTCGTCAACCTTCAAACCCCGACGTGGCAGAACCTCGGGGAAAATGGATTATTTCTTTTTCCCCAAATAAAACTCAGTCTCTCAAAATAAAGAGGGAGAAAGGGAAAGAAGGAAACGGCCAGACATCTACCACTTTAAGGAGATTATATAGAAGAAATCAACCCCCAAGTGGACATTTCCTCGCAGGTATCTCGCATGAGGGCCGCGCTCCCCTCCATGGCGTTGGGGCGGAGGCACAGGCGAGGTCCTGGCCCCCAGAGGGACCCCCACATTCCCAACGCAGAAGGCACAACGGCACCCGGAACCCGGGTTCCCAGCCCCGAGTCCCCGACACTGAATGTCTTACAGAACCTCAGAGGGAGGGCAGGAGAGGGTGGGGGCGAGGGGGAGAGATCAACCAAAGGACTTGTGTGCGTGCCTATGGGCCTGGCCAGGGGCCACGGACAACAGGGGGTGGGGGCGGGCGTGGGGAGGGGTTTGAGGATGCGGACACACATGTGATACCTTCATCAATAAAGAAACTGAAAACTAAATAAATAAAAGTTGTGGAATAAACAACAACGAAAGAATTAAAATTAGCACACACCAAAAAAAAACAAACACACAAAACAAAACACACCACAAAACCTTAAATATTGTTATGGCATCTAAAATATTTCCTCCCTCCTCTTTGGAACATCCAGCTTCGAAACTCGCATAATAAAACTGTACCTCCCATTACAGTAAAAAATAAATAAAAAATCTCCCTGCCACCTCTCCCTGCCCGCTTCCGCCCTGGATCGGCCATGCTGTGACAGCTCACCCTGTCACTCCTGAGGATCTCACCCCTGCCCGGGTCCCCCCTGGCTCACAGGCCTATGGCGGGACATCCATTCACCTGGCAGGTATTGGGTGTGTGTGTGTGTGTGTGTGTGTGTGTGTGTGTGCGCGCGCGCAAAGCCGCTTCCTCCCAGCCAGGTGGGGTTTGACTTGCTCTAGGTCACAGCTACCTAGAGCAAGAGGTGTGCATGGCCAGCCAGCCTGACAGCGTGGAGGGAGAGAGAGCGCAAACGCATGCATGGTCCAGTTTCAAGGTCCTTGCTTCCCACCCACTGCTTATTCAAGGAGGGAATGCGCCCCGTGGCCCCCCCAAAACGCAAGCCCTAACACTAACCCTAACCCTAACCCTAACCCTAACCCTAACCCTAACCCGGCCACGCACGCCCGGGACCTGTCAGTGTCTCCGGCGCCTCGCCCGGCCGGGCCCGCCTGCAGGGAGCTCCTACCTGCAGCCGGAGGTGTCGAGCCTCCTCCTCAGGGGCTGGCGCTGGCTCTCCCTGCGCCTCGGGGTCTCGGGGGCTCCTGTCCGCCGCTGGGTGGGTGGTGGCGGGGGTCCCGGCTGGAGCAGCGCAGGGGCGCCCGGTCTGCAGCGCCCGCAGCGGGATCCGATCTGACCCGAGGCTCCAGGCTCAGAGCTGCAGACTCGGCTCTGACTCCGGTCTCGGCGGCGCTGCCAGGGATATTCTCCCGGCCCCGGGGTTCCCATTGGCTCCCGACGCCAAACAGATCACACCAGCCTCCCCTCTCCCCTCCCGCCCCTGCTGGCCCCCCCTCCTCCCCGCCTCCCGCAGCGCAGGGAACCCACAAACATCGCAGCCACACACGCTGCAGCGTTTCCTCCCGCCTCATCCCTGCAGCCTGTGGACTGGCAGCCTCCCGGGCAGGCGGCAATCTTTTTTATTTTTTTATTTTATTTTTTTTAAAAAGCAGACTTGCCATCCAAAGCTTCTTGTTTATGTGGAGACCTTCTCCATCCCCCCTCCCTCCTCCTCAACCCGCAAAACCACCCCTTCGCCCCTCAGATCTGCCTTCTTTGGTGGATGGGTTTGCAATGGGAGGAATGTCCTAAGCCTGGGAGGTATGTCTCCTTCCTCTCTCTCTCTCTCTCTCTCTCTCTCTCTCTCTCTCTCTCTCTCTCTCTCTCTCTCTCTCTCTCTCCCCTATTATTTGGAATAACTAAGGCCAGTACAATTAGGAGCACCTGAGCCTTACACCCGATGTGAGAGCTCTAGGCATGAAATTGTGAATGAATTCTGTGGAAAAACAACAACACACATTGTCCGAGGCTGGTGTCTGCTCCCAAGAGCGCTTTGGCCATCATCCTTCTCCTCCTCCTCCTCCTCCTCCTCATCATCATCATCCCTGTATTTGTGTATAGCAGGCAGAGGTCCCTAATGCAAATCAGACTCTTCCCCATCCGGCAAGGGCGCCAGACCAGGGGTCGGCAAACTCATGAGCCACCAGAGCCAAATGTCAACAGGACAGCTGTTGACATTTCTTTGGAGAGCCACGTTTTTGAAACTGAAACTATCTAGGTAGGCACCTGGTTATGGGCTTAATGAGGGTGCTCCTAAGCTGGCCTTTGCTAAACATTCAAAGGGCCCCAGAGCCGAGGTTTGCCGACCACTGGTATATGCAAACTCAAATAATATACTGTATATGGTAAATCCATTTTAAAATGTGATCAGTATATAGGAATAGAGATAAAACTCTGGCCCCTCAGCAGAGGAAAAAGTCCAAGAAAAAAAAAATCTTTGATCATGCAAACTTGGCCGGGGAAATTAGGAATAAAATAATATTTCACTGAGTGTGTGATTGAATAGATTCGTTTTAGCCTTTCTCGCCGGTGCCTCTGGGAATTCGAAAGACAATCATTCTTGACCAGAAGCCTTTACCTCGGAAATCATTCTATTTTGATTTGACTTGAAAATAGCATGTTCCCCCCCCCTCTCCCCCAGCATTATCCCTTTTGTATATTATTTGGCATCTGATATTCTGGGTCCATCCTGTTGCAAAAATCACAGGATCAAAAACAATTCGTTTTTTATTTATTTATTTTTTTAATGTCTTATTATCGCCAGACACGCGACCTGCCTGCTTCTCCTCCTTGGGCGCATTCCAGGAATTCTGCCGGGGAAACGTACTTTCAAAATGGGCTGACCTGAAATTGGACAAAAAGAAATACAAACCGATGCCACCTCTGGCTGGCGGTGTCTGCCATCACCATCCCACCTCAGAGGGCATGTCCTGATGATTTGAGCGATTCCCACCGACTCCCGCTCTTTAGGTTGGCAGTTACGGTAAAAACACAGCCCGGCCATACACCCTGGACTGTGTAGAGGGCATTGTCCTCTTAGAAAGGAGGGAGACGAGATTCCAGATGGATAACGGGACTCGCCTTGGGTGATGAAGGCAGATAGCAGACAGCAGACGCAGCCTTTTCCTGCTTATCTTTTGGAGATTATCTCTCCACACCAGCTAGTCAACCGCCAAAAATGCGGTGCTAACAGAGCAGGTTCTGACTTAGAGAGCTGACAGGTCATCACATCGCCTGAGCGGGCCTGGGAAACACTCATGTGACTCAGGATGCCAGGACAAGATTCCGGAAGGTTCTGATCAGGTGCCGATAATAGGTGCTTTCTTAGAATTGTCTTTCTAGAAAAAAAAAAGGGGGGGGGAGGGGGGACTGCTGAAACTGGTTTGGCTCAGAGGATGGAGCGTCAGCCTGCGGACTGAAGGGTCCCGGGTTCGATTCCGGTCAAGGGCATGTACCTTGGTGGTGGGCACATAACCAGTGGGGGGGGTGCAGGAGGCAGCTGATCAATGTTTCTCTCCCATCGATGATTCTAACTCTCTATATCTCTCCCTTCCTCTCTAAAACATCAATCAAATATATTTTTTTAAAAAAAGGACTGGTGAAAACAAGCAGAGGGTTCTAGTTTCTGCTTGTTATTGTGGGGGGGCTCCTTCTAGCTCTTGGTTTCACGGGAGAGACCGTGTAAATAAAACCCTGAGTATCTTCAAGCCACCGGTACATGTTACACTGCCTATCAGGCCGTGGTCGGCAAACTCATTCGTCCGCAGAGCCAAATATCAACAGCACAACGATTGGCATTTCTCTGGAGAGCCACATGTTTTAAATGTAAATCATACAGGTAGGTACGTTGCTATGAACTTAATTTGGAGACTCCTAAGCTGGCCTTTGCTAAACACTCAAGGGGCCAAGAGCCGCATGTGGCTCGCGAGCCGCGGTTTGCCGACCGCTTCCTACAAGGCAACGATTCAAGCCCTCTTTCCTTCAATGAATGAAAAACAAAAATGGATGAGCAAGGAGTTAACCCTGATAGCCAGCGGGTCGGGTGACTAAGGAACATGCTGGTGGAGGGAAGGTCACAGGGGTGGAGTGGGGGGGGGGGGGGGAAGAAGGAGGTCCCACCCTCCAATTGCAGGTCCAGAAGGTCATCGGGGTGGGAAGCCCAGGCGCCCCGCGGAGGGCAATTGTAGGGTGGGACCTCGCCCCCAGGGTGTCTGTCCCTCCCCGGGCAGGTCGCTGGTCATGCGGTTTGGACCCCTGACCTTTCCTCCCGAGAGATAACATCCAGGCCTGGGTTGTGTGTCAGCTCCAGGCCTAGGGAAGCCAGGGCACCGGCCACGCTGACGTCAGGGCCAGCTGCCTGGAGTGAGGACCTCTGACCCGGTGCGGCCAGTCCATCCGTGGAGGCCTCGGCCCGGAATGGACACCCCTGAAAGCTGCTGACTGTCCTACTGAGATCTCCCCCTAAAATCTCCGCCCTCAGAACCCTTAGGAGGGAGCACCAAGGGCCCCCTCCCTCCGGGGGAGCGCGTACTTGCCTCCTCTCCCCCCTACCCCCCAGCCCCAGGGACATTGCCATGAGTATCCTCACTCCAAGCTCCAAGGACCCCTCCTTTGCTTCCTTCACGCATTTCTTAAGCCCCTTCCTCTAGGATAGGGGTGTGGAACTCAATCAGAGAAGGGGCCAAAATCTAAAATCCAGCCTAAATCGCGGGCCGAATGGTTTACTGAACAGTCATAAACTGTCATTGTGATGGAAACGCAGCGGAGTGCAGTGATGACAGCGCGGTGCGGGCCACATTGCAAGGCCTGGCGGGACGGATTTGGCCCGCGGGCCTTGTGTTTGACACGTGTGCTCTAGGATAAGGTGACCAGACGTCCCGCTTTTGGCGGGACAGTCCCGATTTCTAACAATTTGTCCCGCATCCCGCGGCGTTTTTTAAAAAAAGTCCCGATGTTTGGGAAGAATGCACAAGCTAGGGAACGGCGGGAGAACGGGAAGGGAATACTGGTTTTCGGCGGCCCTGTGGCTATTTAGCCAGGATATGAGTTTTACGTTATTTTTGTTCATTTTGTCATGTTAAACGTTAATAATAACAAGTAATGGTTGAGAAACGATTATCGAGAACTGCTTATCAAAGGTCGCATGGTTGATCGGTTGTCAGAATTCGACCACCATTGTTTGGACTTAATGAACAATGGCATTTTTTGGGGGGATTGGCAGTGACGGAAACATTTTGTAACTGTCTCTCAGACGGTACACTTCGTACTCCGTGCTAGTAAGCTAGTTAGACAAGTGATGTCATTACAAATCAGCTATTCCTCTGGGGAGGGAGGGTACGTATGGGGGGAGGGGCAATGTTAAAATATGTACAAAAAAAAATCAGCTATTCGGTTCATTTAGGTAAGTAATTTATTTATTTCATTAAAAAAAATTTTTGTTGCTCCATATAGACCAAATTTTTAATCAAGAACCCCTCCCCCTCCCCCGGTCAATGGTGTCCCACTTTACCAATGTTAAAATCTGGTCACCTTATTCTAGATATTACTCTTTCTCCCTGTGCGAGTGACCCACTCAATGTCTCTGATCGTGGGGGTCTCGCCTCTGAATTCTTTCCTAGCCGGAACCCGAGGACAGAATTGCTGAACCCAACCCGTGGGTCAGATACGTACAACCTGTACATCAAAATCTCCAAATGACGTTTCCATGATTCACGGACACCTAGGAATCTATCATCTCCCCACCCACCAATGCCTGGGGCTTCCATGTGTGAAACAGCGTGTTCTCTCCCGTTCCACAAGGTTCTCCTGCCTAAAAACGCATGGCAGCGATTTAGGAACACTTTGTAGCAGAAGACATAGCCCTCCCGTGCTCAGAATACATTCTTGGGGCAGGAGCGCGACATCTGTCACGTCTCTGCCATCCCTGGGGAGCAGAGAGCGCAGCCCCCAGAGGAGCTGGGAAATGAATCGGGGAGGGAATTCCCTCTGATTCAGCTGGGGCCCGGATTCTCTCCCTGAAGAGCCTGGGATCAGGTGGCGTGGGGTTTCTGATTCATTAGCTCATGCTTGTTAGCTAGAGCGAGGCCCCCGCACCACGCTGAGCTCTGAGACGTGGATGGGAAGAGGTGAGGAGGGCAGCATGAGAGGCCAGGGGAGACAGAGCCACCTTTGACCTAAAAAAAAGTGTTTATAATGTAGCGCCTACGGGAGGGCGCTAAGCTAAGATTTTATAATGCCAGCTACAGCTGAAACCGGTGCTCAGTGGATGGAGCGTCAGCCTGTGGACTGAAGGGTCCCAGGTTCGATTCCGGTCAAGGGCATGGACCTTGGTTGCGGGTACATCCCCAGTGGGGGGTGTGCAGGAGGCAGCTG